GACGTGGCATACTTGTACCTCACGGTAGTTAACCTGATCCGGCCCGGCCCCACTCGTGCTTAAGCTCAAGTAGGAGTGCGATAGATATCACTTTCCCTAGCACGCCAATGAGGAAACGAACGCACAATTCGATAAATTTCTTTCTTCCCATCCTATGATAATTTCTGTGTTTGAATTCTTCAACTGTTAACCATCTCGGGGCACTCAAAAATGCGTCCGTTGGGGAATAAAAAACCAAAGTTGACAACTACCGAATAATATCAGTCCCATCATGCACATGGGTGACCTCTTCTCTATCCCGTTTAACGTCCCAAATACCTATGCCCCCTTTGGTTGTAGAGCCCCATCAGAACAACGGTCCCCCATAGATCAAAACCCGAGCTTTGTATATTATGACCCAATTTCCTACTTGCGGGTATACGTAGCGTCATAAGTTTGGTAATTGGTGATGTTTGGTAATAAATGAAGCAAGCTCTTGTTTGAAATTGGAGCAACAACTTGATCGGTCGTTGTGGCAAGATTTTGTATGGTAAAATCGAGTTGGAGGACTCGCGTGAGAATAATAGGTCCGACATTGACAAGAAGTCGTCGACTTAAGATATGCTTGACGTTGCTTTTGACTTCCATTCGGATGCAATTTTCCTTGATTATTCTTGATATACAGAGCACACTGAGAGATTAAACTAGTACTGCTAGATAGTGAAGAATTTTTCCGCGCCGAATATTCTTTTTTAATCATTAAATGTGTGTTTAGCTATCTTGCCATGAAAAATTTTCAATACTATGCGTGCATTCTGAATAGGTCTTTTGATTCTAGGTCACTTAAAATGTGGATTCCATTCGGAAATACCACTATGACTTATGTTTGTGTAAGAAAACAGTCGGTCCTCCTCCGTGAATACCGACCAAAAGCAAATTAATAACTTTTGATTATCCAAGCACATGTGACGAAATCCGAGTTGGTGATGTATAAATCGATTTATTGAACTTAATAAAGGGAAAAGAAATCTCTAGCTGTTACTAACAGGTACTTATTGCGTTTGATCTGCTTCGTGAATCTGCTGACTGATAACTTTCCCCTAGGCCTAATACTTGCAACCCAGCCAAGTATTATCAGGAGCCATTACACCATGGTGTTGCTTCAACCTCCTGGCTAGTAGTGCTATTTCATCTATATTTGTCTATACCTCCTCTTTCAGTCTTATAATTATTCCTAAATGTGTCATAGCTAGATAGGCTGTATACACTTAATGATTTCAAAAAAATTATTCCTAATCAAACGCATAGGCTTCCTCCTAAGCTTTAACAACAGCTAAAACTTAATAGCATGCCTTTGTCATCCATGTATATCAGCGCCGCGAGAAATCTAGGCGTGTTTTGCCGGATTTGAATCCAGTAATGCTTGTCTCGAGTGGGATATGTGTCCAAGCTATCTGGAATCTACTTGGAGGACCGGCCTGTATTATGTGCTGCTGAACCATCTAGCCATGGCGGTTATGGTATTGTCGCCTGTACTCCGAAAGTCGAAGTCGTGGCACGTACGACTCTCTTCAACATGAAAGTCACCTTCTCTATAAATTATAATCTTACACTTTCTAGAATTGATAGAATCCTCTATACAGTCTTATCTATCTATACTGGTATTTGTTACGTCTATCCTGAAGATACACCTCTAAAATTTGTCTCCTCCCTCGAATACTCGCATCGGCCTGAGCGTATGTATGTAGGCCAGAGGCGTGGTCATATAAATGAGAACATGCTAAGTCTTACTAGTAGACCTGACGAGATCTTGATCGGAAATGGTCTTGTTGGGATTAAAAGATTGATTTTGTAGGTAATCTTAAATCATTGTTTCGTGGGCTAGCTCTTCCGGCATCGCGAAATTTGACTCAACTCGGATTTGAAGAATATTTCATTTTGCTTTCGTAGAAAAACCACTGACAAGAGTCTATTCTTCGTCCTCCTTTCCCCCTTGTTTCGCTGCTTATCCGTGGCTTCGAAACAAATCTGGTTAATTTGATCATGAATTTATTTGTGGCAAGCTACCAAAGCTTGTCGGCTCCATAGTGTTGTAATTAAGGCAGCAACATAACTGCAGTAGACTAATAGTACATATTAGAATAATATGCACTGGCGCCATGAGATATGATTAACTCATATCATCACTCACTGGCATGAATAGTAATTAGCCAATAGATGCCTGACAGCATACATTGGCTTCAGGATCTCCAACAACCTTCCCGTTTAGGTTAGATTATGAAGTATGTTGGAGTTCACACTAGTGTGCGGAAAACTCAGCTTTCATGTATATAGAGGGTCTTCTCGCCACACATATAGAATCATAGCAATTTAATCACAATTAACTATCCATTAAATATCAGTAAACTTCTTCGTATAGTAAACACATTTATCGTATCTCTCAATCAAACTCGAGGCTAGTGTGTAATTCTTCCAATCTCCGGAACTAATTTCAATTCATAGCTCCCATGAGATACGACTCGGGCAATGGCTATTTTTTACTAGTCGTTTGATGTAATCGATGATTGACAGTTTAATTGCAACGCTGTGTGATGGTTTACCTTGCAGCCCCTCCTCGACCGTTCTTACCGGACAAATGGGGGACTCGAAAGCCCTTAACTCCCTTGGCACGCTCACAACAGTTCTACCAAACAGCAGTTACATAGCAGCTGGTCCTTGCTAGATGCCAAGCGATAAGTCTAACCCTGAAGGAGGTAGGTGAACAGGCTTTCCAGAACCACCAGGTATGGCTGTTTAAATGGCATACCACAGGACCAACCAGCCAAAGCAGATTTCAGTGGATAATGGGGCAACGCATCACATCTGCGTATCAATCTAATACTCTCAATGGTCTGGAATACGACTGGCTAGAGATGGATAAATGCAGATAAAATATGCTTTTCAACACATCTCCCAAGATTTTATTGTCTATATCCTTAAGTGTTAAGTTTTCTATGGGAGTTTGCTGTTAACTGCCGGGACGTGGTGGTGGTTCGGGGCTGGCTACTGACACGCAACTCATGGCACCATCATGTGACTTATAGGTCAGGTCATAAGCGAGAACCATAGGTACCATGACAGGCACAGCTGGTTGCTGTTCTCTATCAAGGAAGCTTCACAGACCAAAGAGAAGAATTAAACACCTAGCTTGTGCACGGAGAGTAATTTTCTAAACAGACACTTTCATTCTGACGTTACTGACCGCATGGCATCATACCATGTTTCGTAAGGTGGTAGCTATCTACTTGGCTGCAATCCATGTCATGGTGTGGAATGAGGAAGGCTACAAGCGCCTACGCAGATCCAGGATGGATTGAGTCCATTCCAGTGTTGGCGCCTCGCCCACACCGGAATGCTACGTGCATCGTGTCGTTGTACATGATCTATGCGGCTTAATTATCTCATCGCACCTGAACTGGTAATCGCACCCAATCGTACTCCTGCCTTATGGCGCGGCATCCAGCTCGTGGTACATGTGTGCGATGGGCTGGGACGACATGCACCTCTCCACCCTAGCCTTCGCTGACGTAAGCCAATGCAAAGAAAGGACAAAACTTTTGCCAGGGGAGCCAATCATTGAATCAACAGACTGGCGCATTTCAACCCCTCCTACAGGACGTAGAATATACGTCTATATTTACTCGAAAATTAAACCTCTTTACATGATATTTTTGGCCACATGTATTGCCTCTCGGCCCCTGTAGTCAGTTCAATGGCCCTCAATTCATGTAGCTTAACTGCGCAGACAACCCTCTCACACCACGCAGTACACATATGTGCGTGGGGGCTCAACAGCGAGCGCGGCAAGCCTATTACCTTTAGACGGCACGTAACCGGGAGAAGAGTGGTCAGGCCTGATCGTGACTCATTCCTGCATCCACCAGAAAACCAGAGGGTTTATGGTAGCCACATATAATTGTCATTTGCAGCACTCGCGCAAGTCTTGAGGACTCAGTATGCGTTTGGGCCAAGGGGCCAGCCCTAACCATATCCGTCGCCCGTTCAAACTCTGCCACTTCCAATGACATGCCAAGAATCTCGATTCTGGATCTCGTAGGTCAGAATTGGAGGGGTACATTTACGAGCCCACCATTCCACAGCTCAAATTGGTGTTGTGGCGGGTAAAGCAGGACTTGCTGCATTATTGGAAGTTACGAGGGTCCAATGATTCATTTAGAAGCTTATCGTCAAGCACAGTCTCAGCTCTATTCTGGACGAGGAGATCATAGGGGCTTTTATACAGTACATGTACATACCGAGACGCACGGCGGCACGCAGGTGGAAAATGAATTAGCGTTTCAGCCCGAGAGAAGATCAATGGAGCCAAGATGTAAAGCCTCACGAAAACAGAATGATGTGTAATTTAGCTCCGAAATGAACACTCCCTGAATTTTTTGAAAAGGGAGTCTTATGGGTGGTAATGGTGTTAAAGTGAATCAAGACCTTGGGCGCCGTGAAATAATGTAGGTCATGACTCTCAGAGCTAAGGCGATGTAGAAATTTTACCGACATAAATTTTGCTCTCAGCACGCCTCACTTCTACGAGATCATTAGCCAGGCCATGTGCGTTATCAATATTTGATCCAAAGTGTTAATGTAGTATCTACATGCCAGAGATAAGCACACCTAAATTGCTCAGAGTAGATTATATACAGTTCTACGTGTTTGCTCGCGCGCTACTAGCTCAAATAGCGAATTCATCCATCTCATCTTGACCATCCAGTAGTAAGGAAGACTGACATCTTTTTCCCCCTTTGAAGACATCCACCTATAATAATTAAATAAAAAGCCACACTTGTTTCCATCTTCTCCTGAGATGAGATTAATACCATAAAAATATAGACAATATACAGTGAACCCCCAGCAACATCAATCCTATCAACGCCAAAAAAGTAGCAAAATTTTATCGACATGGGGCATTGCTTTTGAGATTTTGCCCTATTTCCGTAACCAAGGAAATAAAAATCATCGGTCGAAATGCTCTAGAATTTTCGAGAAATCGTTGTGCTATTAGCAGACACTGTGACTGTAACTGTGACGAAAGATAATGGACTAAATGGAGCGGATGTTTGGGGTGATGTTGTATGAGAAGTGATGCTGGCAGGAATAGTAGTAGTACTAGTAGCTTTTTCCGGGCTTGAGCCAGGTCGAGTGAATGGATTATCACTAGCTTTTTCCGCCGGTGCCGTGGGATCAACAATAAATTGATTGTCGTTTTCGAGCTGATCTTTTACAGCGAGCGAATTTGGATCTGGCTTTCCACTCGTCTTTACAGCCTGGTTTACGTCGGCAGCGTGGGGTTTTGAAGTTTCAAGCATATCAATATCAATACAGCTTGTGTAGCTCTCATTTTGAAAGACTTGGCCAGCTTTATCGAGAGTCGGCCATTCCCAAACCCAATATAATGTATAAGTCCCGGTGGTCCCTGCATCAGTCGGTAATTGCAGAGCCGATTGACATAAAATCTCGGGACTTTTCTCCACATCTGAAAATCCCAGGGCTTTCGCTCGATCTTTGCTTAGTTTTTCGTTGTTGATTTGATGGCATTGCCCATCATCAAATGGTCGGGTTGCGAGCAGCTTACCCCGTTTATCACCCCCAGAGCCCTCAGTGTTCCATACTCTATGAATTCCGAGATACGTATCTGTGGGAGAGGATTCTTTTGTTCCGTAAATGAAAACAGTGCCCCTACCGGCCGGCTTCCCCTCCTGGATTTTAAATTGGGTCACATGACCGTTCTCGTGGTAGGCAAGCGAGATCCGATCTTGAGGACTAGCTGATAATCGTGGATACCCTTCACTTTGTTGCTGTTTAACCTGTGAATCTTTACACATTAGATCTGTGGCTAAAATTTCACCACCGGTCGACCTGCCATTCGGCGGAATGAGATAAGTGTTTGCGGTGTCGGGATCAACGCCAGGAGTTCGACCAGCAAATCCACGAGCATAGCCAACGTCTTGGAAGGAACCATCCGATGCGATTAAGTTCACACTTTCGACCCAGGTATGTGCAAGTGTTGGAATCAAAAGAACAGACAGTGAGAAACAGACAAAAGCTGTTCCGTGTCCAGTCACAAACTTCATTTTATGAACGGTATGAAGTGCTGAGCCACGTTTTGCTAGATAATTCAACTACTCTAACTCGTCAAACAAGAGAGATATTTATAATGTGCTTGATGCCGAGAGGGTGATAAGATGTAAGTGCGTGTGGAGAGAAATACCCAGTGTTTTCTATGATCCAGAGATAATGTGATCAGTCCTAGCAGTAGATGGTGTAGATACTCGTTGAATCGAATTCTAATAGTCTTGTCGTGAAAGAAAAGTGTCTAACACTGTAGCTATTGCAGGTATCAAGTAGTTAAGTCTGACGTAGCGTGGTCAAGCAGCTGTCCAAGATTGGGAGACAATAGGAAGAGTACAGAATTGGAATAAAGAGATGTACGGTATATGTAGGCATTTTCCCTAGTACTGAGAGGTCAAATCAATTGATAACACTGATAGGGCTGAAAATGAATTTATTGAAACAAAGGAAACACCTCTTCTACCCCTACCCCGGACCACCGACAGGATGGGCTCAGCTATCCATGGCCGGCGGACCTGAAGTCCATTGCTGGTGATGCTATGTAGCTATGAATGTGTCCAATTAATTGCTTGGAATGATAGGTCGAGGCTAGGGGTAGGGGCGGTTGCGGTTGCGACCAAATCCGTCACGAACTTGCGTAGGAACATGGAGGAGCAGGGGTACCTGGGGGAGTTGGAGCTTTCCCGCGCTTAACGCTAATCGGCCAGGAAGAGGTCTAAGCTGCACGACCCGTTTGGTTGGCAACAGCACTCTACTCGTCTCAGGAACTCATCTCCACGACCGCCCTCACGAATCAGCTTCCATTCACATGAATCAACAAGCCGCGGGCCTTGTGCATACGGAATGCATCTCAATTAAATAAACCATTGAATTCCTGGTGCCCCTACGCTGAGGTATCAGACCTGGTCAGTTTAGTACTCTCTAGCCTTGTTCCCTCATGTTGGCCCTGAGCTAAAGCCATTACTCACCCAGGCCACTGTTGCAGTTTTGTTCCGCGACTGCCAATAATTTTGCAATCTCCAACAATTCCTATCATCAAGTATCCAACAAAGCAAGTCTCTTCGGTAGTGATTCATTAGCCTAGGTTGAACAACTTGGACCACTAGCTTACCGTAAGAGTTTCTGTGTCAGTCATTTGGTGTATCTCTCTCATCCGAGCTGCGTAACTATCATGAAACAGTTGGACTCTCATGCATGTATTCAGCCGCTCAGTGAAGAAAAATGTCCCGACCTCACCTGGTAAGGCAGACAGACATGGATTTGAATAGTCGATTCATCGCCTTTCATCACCCCGGCTTTAAAGATATCAATCTAGCTCCAGGACCAGGTGACCTCTCAAGAGAACGAGGGATTTCCAAAGGGTCACATTTTCTCCATATCTGGCTTACCTTGTAAAGTAATGAATACTGGAAGGAATGTGGCGCCTAGCTTTGCTCGACTCAAAAATAGTTACCTCCGTACACATGGACCTCCAACCGTCAAAAGTCCTCCTTGCCGCCGAGGATAATGTAAGTGTATAACTAAGCCACGCGTACAGGTTACTCAAGTTCTCTACAGGGCATATTGTGTCACGCGCAGAGTCTTCTTCGGCGAAGATTGCTTGTAGTCGATAGCAATGTTGTCTTGAAGAAACAAGGTTCACTTACTTCATCTAACCATGAAAAAAACAACTCAGTTACATTGAGGGAGTCACCTAAGCGACAGTGATAAATAATCCTGAATCCAGAGAAGGAATCTCTTAGATGTGCACAAAACGAGGAACTCATTAGCTGGGTAGTTTCCAATCCCATCTCTATTTTGGTAATATTGAATCTACTTATTATTATCCTAGTTTAATGACAAGACGTGGGCAGGTCTCAACTAAATGCGGAGGTTTTGAACCGTTGGCCCAAGTTTATTTACATCTGTATGGGGTAGCTAATTACGTGGGGAAGCTGTGGATGGAACGTCATTCTTAGCCTTGACAAAAGAATTGTGCGAATTGTAGGGGAAAGTATTGATAATTGCCGGGATTTTCAAAAAAATTTACGCGCCCGAGCTTCATTGCTCGACTGCCAATTTGTTTGGTCTCCTAATACAGTTGAATAGTAGCGTCCTTGTCATTTTAGTGGTAGATCTGACGGTCCCTTCCTGTGCACATGTTCGCCGGGGCTATGTCAGTATTTTCTCCATTGTTAAACCTCTCCCTATCATTATCGTTGCTTGAGGATTTTGGGCGCTAAGAGTCCCATACACATCACCTGATAGTATGCATAGGTCACGTGATTGTAATCGCCGCAACTCCAATGCGAGTGCGGGAGATGCTAGCACTCGTTGTTTCCAATGATAACTACTGGTTACCGATTTTCAATACTCCCCATAACCTCAGAGAATGAGATTTCTACTTAGGCCCACTAGATGGAACTAGGGCCAGCGGATAGAGCCTCATTACATTGTGAATACTATCTCACCCAAGCTAACGATTAGAAATTATTTTTAGATTTACTCATTCGCCAATCAGATTAGTTCTCTCACTTTCACCGCCCTTCCAATCATCCACCCCTGCCCTCAGTATAATGCTCGTGTGTGACGCTAGACGTATTGCACAAAACGCACCCTCCTCTTCCGTCAACATCCAAATAGATGTTCGATAGTTGAAAATGAAGAGATGAACTCGATGCCCTGTACTACACTTGGATTAAAATCTGGTCTCGTATTCGATATTCTATTCTTCAAAACAATTGAGAGTCAATTCCCGTTGACAAGTTTGGGACTGGAATCACTTGTGTTTTTGATTGGAAACGCGGACTACAAAGTTTCATCGCTACCCACCAAGACAAAAAACGTTTTGCCCCCTTTTATTTTGCGATTCAAATAGACTCAGGACCTTCCCATTATCCCGCTCATCAGTGCGGCTCGTACCATATACGGTTCCAATTTCTCCTTTATTCTAGAAAGATTTCAATCTGCTACGCTCCTTAGCTCGCCTGACTAACTCACAAACCCCAATGAGGCACAACGTAGAACCTTTTAGTGAGTTAGTCAGGCGTCAGGGCTAGTTCATCCCTCGTGACTGCAAACAAAGATAGAGACAGCAACCACATCTCTCCTTTGCCCTGATCTTGGCCCAAATACTAACTGATAGACTTTCACAAACCCGTTGAAAGTCATACACATTCAACGTGTCGCTGCTATGGAAAGCTGGGGCTGCGCTGTCTCTGGGCTGAGATCTTGTCTCAGATGACTGAACTCACTAAAACATCAACAATACTCATGACATAGCTACAAGTTTGAAGGCAGCACTCTGTGAGAATGAGAGGGCACGACAATTATGCTCGAGAAGTCGCTATCAAATATTCTGTGGGTGCAACGTAGAAGGGTTGTAATTTCGAGACTAGCTATTCACTTCTCTCCCTCCAAATGGCCAACATGATAGCAGCGGAGAGGAGGAATGAGAATATTGAGGCTGTTCACAAAAGAGACACTTTCAAAGTCCCGCAACTCTTTTGTCTCAAGTTTAACCCTGGAACGTACCGTACCACACTTACCCTACTGCGTAATCTTAATATCGTGCTGTCCAGGCTGTAGTAGCTCAAACTTCATGAAAAGTTACAAGCTAAGTTCATAGTACGATTTTAAAAATGGCATTTCCGGTACGTTCATCAATTGGACAGATGCCAAAATATCTAATTGATTTCCAAGCAGTAATTTTTCTATCGGGACCAGTCTTTCGAATCCTCTCTTGCCTGCAATGAGAAATCTTTACATCTGGATTATCCGTAACAGCGACAATATCGAACATATCCTATCCGCAACGAAGCCTTGAACAGTTGAGATTGTAGAGACGTACTTTCAGACCCATCAATTGAATCGCCCACGTATTGCTACGAGTACCTCACAGTCGCTGTGGTGAGTGAGTTTGTTTGTTTTACTAATTGAGTCATAGTCTATCCAGCACATTGGCCTCCTCTCTGACCCAGGCTCAGCTTGAACAGTGCTCCTATTCTCTTTTGTTACTTCAAAGATCATTGATATATGCCCCGTGATAAATAGTCATTCGGCTTAGTGTTTACCCATGGAATTCAGCCGCATTTTCCACAGAACCTTTTACCCAAAAAAATGGTAGCAATGGAAACTGCTTGCGCGGGAAAAGTCTCTAAAAATCTGCGACTCCCGCCAGGCGAGGCCTAGACACCGGGACCACATGAGGTGCGCATATTTATCATCATCTTCCTTCCTTTGTAACGCTAGAGGCTGACTTGATCCAATACACTATCGCCGTGTCGGGTGCTGGGCACGCTCCGGAAACTTGTAGGGTGGATTTTCCTCTATGATCAAGGGTAGGTGACGAGAAGGGCTTTGAACCTACAATCTAATGTGATTGGAGTTAGCTCCATGATAATGGCGATAAGTGGATTGTGCTTAGGGATTTTTTTTTGCATCAGATTTTAATTGCGTATGCAGCTATCTAGCTATGACACCATATCAAAGCAAAGTACAGAATAGATGATTCAACGTGAAGAAAGAGCACTCATGCCTTGGATTTCATTTGCAACTACTACGGTAAAGTTATGGCGGCTTTTTTTTCACCCCAAGTCAACCCTCAACCGTGAATACCCACCTAGGGGAACGTCTCAAGAACCCCGAGTTATCCGGACATGCCTCCATCATCCATTTACTTTTCTCCGCGCGAAATGTGGTCTCAGGTGTCTCTTTCCTAAGTGAAGTAGGTGCACAGGCTACTCAAACCATACCAAAGAACACCACCGGGAGGCGGACCACAACACCTTCCATCGTTGGCTTGTGTTTATAGTGTCAGTTGCACTCTGCGCTTGGGGATGAAGACGATACAGACCGCAAAAGCGATTGGGAATCCGCATCGAAGTGAGGATGAAGGTGATACTCAATATCAGCTCTGTAGACTCTACAGTGAGAGGTAGAGGTTTGTAGGGGACACCACTGACAGGTGTTGAGAATAGTCCCCCGGGCCAACAAAGAATTAAAGCGACAAAGGAAATTATAAGTGGTATTGAGTCAGCATTCTTTATCCTGAGCTATCCTCTGCCAGTTTACCTCCGCTAGTGCTCTTTTAAAGGCTGTGCTTGCATCCAGTAGGGAAATAGTAAATAACTGGTCTGCCAAAGTAGCCTAAGACTCGTCCAGAAATTAGACATTTCACTAACCCTTCATGTTCAAGGAATCACCTAGTTAAAACGCCTAAGCCCATATTTTCTCTGCGTTTACGCATTTGAGTATTGTACCTCCCATAGCGTATAAATTTGGCAAGTGTAATTTCCGGTCCACAGGTATAAGCCAGGCTTCCATCATCGTGGTTGAAGTGACGATGATACGCCGCAAAGTCCACAATTTCCTGAAATCAAAGCAATGATCTCGTGAAGTAATTCTAGAGACAACCGTAGATCAGCGGATTAAGAACTGCGCACTTGCTGGTCCAAGCCTTGATACCGAGCTGGACGCGCAGCTGATTAGTATTTTTTATTCTATTCTCGTCTTCGCCCTTGCATGGGACGACGAGATTATAGAAGGCTCATGTAAATGGGCTATCTCTGACCATCTGAAGGTAATCTTATTGTGTTACGAGCTTCTATGTCTCTCTCTACACTCCTCTTTTCGTTCGAGGTTCTTGGCAACCATATTTTTATATGCTAGCCTTTTGAGCATGTTAATGAAAGATATGATTCAAGAGAATACTAGAATTATGGTATCTGGTTTCAAAATTCATGACAGCTAATTGACAGCGAAGTGACACATTAATCCTCTTCCGCCTTTGTCTGGCAATGATAGTGGCCTGCAGAGTCATCGTTGATCCGAAAATATTGGCGTTAGAGGTCTCGCCTCTACCTAGAGAAGCACGCTTTTGATTGAAAATGTCACGTCGCTGAAGCAAATAGCTCCTAGTTGAATGACCTAGGGCTTCTGAGAATCTACTTGAATGAGCACATGTCCCAGAAAAAGAGATAATTCTGGTCTATTCTCGGGGAGCCTCCTCTGCTTCCAGCTATGATCAAAGTTTTCTCCAATATCCTGGGTCCAGTAGTGGTTAATGTCGAGTGACCTAATGACTTAATGACCTTTCATGTACTATCTTAGAAACGATGACTAATTATGTTGATGAGTAATGAGTTGCCTGTTTAGGAATGGCGTCAGCAGAGAGGGACAGCTGCTGTTTATACGTGTTTCCTATAGTTAGAAGTCAAGGAAAGAGAAGATATATGTTAACCACCAATTGTTATTACTGCTATAGAAAGCTTGTGATATAAATACCACCCGAGTATTCCGACAGTTAAGTATTCTCGGCTGGTGTAAGTTGGCAGCAAGCGCGCTGAGCGCGGCATATCTGGCTCTCAGGTCGCGGCGGTAAACTTTTGTCTCTTTTATTCCTTCATTTCTCAGTTTGAGTACAAGCCTACGCTAGTTCGTAGCGAAGGCGATTTCTGAGAGAGTATAGCCTTGCAAATAGTCTTCAGCGGTTGCACTTGAGAGGATTCGAGCTGAAAGAATGGGCCCGTATAATGTAAGTCGCAGCATTAGGTGTCGTTTCCCTCGCTGGAAGTACTGCTCTCATCGCTAGAAATAAAGCCATGCGAATAAGCGAGGAGAAATGCGTGATCTGGAGAGTCACTAGCTCTGGGCCTCTCCATCGTGTCATATCAAGCCATCACTCGTCTTCGCCACACGCCGCTACTAGAACTACACATACATCTACT